CTCGTATTCTTTTGTTTACGTGCTTTTGTGGATGTAATACACCTATGTATATAAATATACCTTTCAATAGAGTCCTTTATACCAAAATTTAAAAAGAAAATCACCGAATTTTCATATTTTATTTATTTTGAAATTTTAAGGGCCTAAGGGTTAATAATCCAACACGTTAGGGGTCAACATTAATTATTCAAAACTTTAGGGGCCAATTTGAACAAATTAGAAACTTTGATGGTTTTAAAAACTAAATAAATGGCGTCTTCTTTTATTCGAAACACCTGTGATCTTCAACCAATTATTACAAAATTCAAACCTTTAATTGTCCAAATTAATTAATTTTCAAACTTTAGGGACTGAATTATTAAAAACAGAACTTTAAAGGCCCAATTTGGATGAACTTTAAAAACTTTAGGAGCTGAATTATTAAAAAGACATTTCAAAATTGCAACCCTAACCCTAATATGAAATTGCAAGCAAGGACTTGAAATTATCAAATGGGTTCATGTTGGGCTACCGACCCCACATAATTTTTTTATTTTATTTTATCATTTCCCAACCTGCGATCATTTGCCTTCAACAGCTGGAATAAATCTTCTATGTTTGTTTTGGGACCCAACAAAAAGATAGCAACGTCTCATAAGCAAGAAAATTAGGGTTCTATCGATAAAAGCAATTTAATTTCATTTTGACCTTTCAGTGAAAAATATGTGGCTCCGCAAATGGATTCAACCAATAAGAACTTATGTCTAGAGGGCCGACACATTAATGAACATTATATCAAGTTAAAGCACTGAATGAACATTATAATTGGAAGGTAGCCAAAGACACTCATTATCCAAGTTGACTCGTAAAAGATTTGATATCAACACTTTTATGATCAATTTCTTAGGAAGTCAGAGGAATAAGTTCATGATTGTTTGGACTGTTGAGTGACGAATATTTGATCTCCAACTTTCCAACTTTCCAAATGGTTATTATGCCTTATGGCAATTTCGCATAGACTATTTTCAACTTCTGACTATGCGCATCTGTTTGCCAGTGCTTGCACTGCTTATACTGCTGTGATTAAGTCCTGTTTTACCCTAATAAAATAATTTTACTTCCTTTTCAATCACCCACTCTCTAAATACCAAATAATGAAAGATCAAACGGGAGCTAAATATAAAATAAATAACTCACTTCAATAAAAGTAAATGTTATTCATAATCGCGACTGCAATAGTTATCTTTATGTGACAACTTGTTATTTGAGACATTATTCTACTATTTGAAGCAACAGAATTAAAAAAATTAATATTTCAAATAACAAGCTGCCAGATAAGATGATTACTACATCTGCTAACTGTGAATAACATCATTCTTTTTAGATTATTTTCTAGGAGTAGGGACAAATTAATTATCAAACATTAATGGGTTAGTTCTTTCTCAAGAAATATGAATTTTAATACTTCCTTCGTCTCATTTATTGTTGTTGAAAAAGCAATTTTTGCAAAGAATTTTCTTAATTTACTCTTATTTAATTATCAACAACTAGTAGTAAAGAGCAATGCTATTTAGCGCCCACTGGAATTACAATCTTAGTTTAGGTGACGTTAATGTAACATTAAATAATAAGTGAAATTAAATAAGTTATTTAATTCCACCATTTATTTAGTTTATCATCTAGCGTCATCTAAATTGGAGTTATAACCACATTGGAGCACATAGCATTACTTAGTAGTAAATAATGTATTTTTGTTCATATTTCCAAAAAGAAGGGGGAAATTTGTGTATGTATTTGGATAATTTCAAGAAGGTAAATCAAAATCCGTATAATTTCAAGATTAAAGGTGTGTTTGATGCACATTTTTAGGAGATAATGCATTTTTTTTGTGATGTGATGGTGAATATGTAGTTGAAAAAGAAGAAAAAGTTATTAATGTGATGGAAAATATTATTTTATTGAAAAATGTGTAATTGAAAATGAGTAGAAGAATGAGAATGTGACCCAAACATGTGCTAAGTGGAAGGAATTGGTTATAACTAGGAAAATTAAATAAGGATATATTAGTAAACGAACGAAACAAATAATTCCTTAATGAGGAAAAATGACTATATAAATGAGACAAGAAAATAAAGAAAGTCAGGACGGATGAATAAATTTTTATCTTGAAAGTTGAACTCAAGTACGTTTCATATTGGCTGATTTTTCTAAAGCTCCTTGGAATACTATAAAGATAATATTTATCTTGAAAATTTTATCGCTACCATTGACCATCAATAATTATTTATTTTTGATTGTTTGGTTGAGTGATTAAACGAGTAATTTTTTTTTTTTAATATTTTTGAAGAGTAGAAAAGTAATTTTTCTATTTAAGGAAAAAAAAATATTGTTAATGTAAACATGCCAATCAGTTGAGATGACATTGTAATAATATCACAATTGAAAACAATTTAATAAAAAATCAAAATTTAGTTTTAGCCCATGTTTGGAGTTCTTTTTATTTTTTTTTGAGAAATATTGTTTTAAATAGTGAAGTTTTAGAGAATATGTGGTGAAAAAGTCGAAAAAAGTATATTATTTTATTGTGTAAATGTATGGTTAAAAATTAGTAGGTAAACAGTGGAAGATAAAAAGGGGCTTAGTGCTTGTTAGTGTACCTTTATTCTTTCCATTGTCGGATCCAGAAAAATGCATTAATTTTAGGAGAGAAATCTACGTTTTAATGGAAATACATAATCCAGAAAAATGCATTAATTAGTCAGCAAGTAATCCTTTCAAGCCTGAAATAAAGTCATAATTAATGTTGACTTTTTTCCATTGAGTCAGACCCGACCCAGGGAGCAAATTGAGAGGATCAGCAACAACAAGCGCGTAAAGAGATAATATCAAAATTATATAGATAACATTAAAATAAAATAAAATGAAAAAAAAGAACACCGTCAATACGATAGTGCTGGATACAGATCAGATCACATCCGTTGAGACTAGGGCGGTGTGCCATTATCCCAATTCCATAACAAGACAAATTTCCGCTTGCAAATTTCTTTTGCTACAATCCCTCCACTTCCGTTGTTTAGGCATTTTTTTGGTCAAGTCTAAGTCATGTTTGTTTAGCTAAAAAATTTGATTAAAATTAAAGCTAAAATCAATTAAATAATTTTAACTATACATTTGCTAGAGATGTGTTTGATTGTGCGTGCACCTTGTCGATTAGGAAGAAATACTTTTCATAGGTAAATTTATTGGGATTACCATTCACCTCGTGACTCATTCATTTGGTCGAGCGTTTTTTGGATGTCGATCAATCTATCACTCAATAACAAAAGCATCCACAATTTTTGTTTAATCATATATTTCATCAATTATGTCAAAATTATCGAATCCCTTGTTTACAAAAATCCATTTGCTTTAGACCTTTTAAATGAGGTCAACGCAAATGGATGTCATAAAGTTGGTTTTGTATTGTGAAATTGTGTGTTTTGGATGAGGCGATGGAGGAAGCAATTGGCTGCTGCTTCTTTCTTTGGAAAAGTAGATAATGAAATTCATCAATTTCCTGTGAAATATTTACTCTAAAAGTTGTGAAATCCACTGATTCATTGAATTATCTCAATCGGCCACATGAATTTGACACCAAATTCAAATGAACGAAGAAAGCAAAATTGATCAAATTTCACCAAAAAAATTCAATGAATTTATTTCACTTTTTTTTTTTTTTGAGATAATGAAATATGTAGTCGAAAAACGATAGTTTCATTTAAATATGTAGATGAAAATTTGATCAATTATAAATTATTTTTATTTTATCAAAATGGAAGCTAAATCAATATCTATTTTTCAGTGAAAAAAGAGTATTGTCCGACAACTTGTGCTTTCGAACTATTTTTCTATATAAAAATAAAATAAAAATTATAGAACAATAAAAATGGAGAATGTCAAAAAAGTACACAAACAGATTTTTCATTTTTATTAATGTAAGTAGATGGATTGTTTTAATGGAACAAATGAATAGATTGAGTAATAACTAAAAGCCAGATTTTATGGGATTGACTTATGGCTTTACTAACGTTGCCAGCTTAATTCATAATTATATTAAGGAAAGACGTGTACTGAAATGAATGCTAATCTTAAATATTTTATGTAATAATCTACACAACTTCAAACTTAATAGCGACAAGTGGGAGTGGATGTCTTGCCAAATTAAAAAAAAACATGGTTGACGAGTTCCATATTATGAAATGAAATTCTGATTAGATCATGACGCGATTTTCTTTATTTCGTGTAGAGAGGAACAAACTAATTAACTAAAAGCATGTTTGGTAAAATAAATAAATAATTTTTCGAAATGGGTAGATAAAAGTAATTTAAATGTTTATAAATATTTTATAACACGAGCCAAACATGATCTTAGTTATTGAATAAGATAAATTAAAAAAAATCAAGGTATAAAAGTGAGAAGTTGATGGCAATTTTTATTTTGTGTTCGAATTATTTATTTATTCATTCATTTATTTGTATTGAATAAGATGAATAGGAAAGATGTCGATTGTAAATCAATACACTTGGTAGGCTCCTATTTTTACAATAGGGAGTAGACTTCAAATTTCTTGCTTGATACGAATGGATTTACATAAAAAAATGGGGACGACATCCATTAAATATAAATTAAGAAAATAATAAATAAGTATATTTCACTTCAATAAGTAAGGAATCCCACACAAAATAAGAAAACGAGTAACGTATTTATTTTACCCCGCACGTTTGTATGGGGCTGATTGCTTATAAGCCGTGAGTTTATTTGCCAAGCATGCTAAGATGGGTTTCGTGTAGATTTAAAAATACATTAAATTAATTGTGAAAATTGTGCACTTTTTTCAGAAATTGAAAATTATTTAATCCCCGGTCAGCTACTAAAGTTAACCATGGTTTGAGTTCTATGAGTATAAATATGAGAGATCAGTTGCTTCCATCCATCGATTCGCAAGTTTCCACCACTGGCAACGTTCAATACATTAACTTGCATGGTCGAAACCTCCTTTCAAATCATCTTCCGAATTTTCACCTTCTTTTTTTCTGGTAGGTTTCTAATTAATTCTTCATTCTATTGTACATTTCTTTAAATTCGAGATTTCAGATAACAAACAGCTTAATTTTTGTAGAGAAAAAATGTCGTCAAATGGAGAATTCAGTTTCGGAAAGAGTAGTGTGAATCGGCTCCCGAAGATTCACACTGAGAAGAAGAATGATGATGACGAGATTTGCCACGATGACACTTCGACTCCGATCAAAGCCCAGACGCTCGACGAGTTGCACTCCCTTCAGAAAAAGAAATCGGCGCCCACCACCCCGATCAAGGGCGCCGCTGGCGCTTTCGCCGCCACAATCACCGAAGAAGAGCGTCACAAACAACAGCTCCAATCAATTAGGTATTAATTTTTTTTAGTTCAAAAGTTTAAATCTACCATCGCATTCAGTTTAATTTTAAACGAAATATTATTTTCAACTATCTGAATAATTAGTTTAACGGTGATCTAGAGAATTCCCTGCTAAATTTTGGAGAATTTAGTTATTACTTATAAGTTTACTGTATATTAAGTAAGTGAATTTTTTATTTTCTCCGGTTTAATGTTCAAATGATCAAGTTAAAAATAATTCGTATCTTATAATTAAATAAGTGATTTTTTTATTGGAATGTAAGGATTAAAACAAATGGTTAAATTTTTTTAAAAAAAATTGTTGTTGATAAAATTTAATATGATTAAGCTATTTATTTTGAAGGAAATTATCATTTATTTATTGTCTAAATAAATAATTTCCGTATAAGTAAGAATGATGAATTATAATTAGTTATTATTACAAGGTAATTTTTTGTCTTATTATCAAATAAATATTTTATTTAGTAGTTTATCTAAACATATTCAAAACCCAAAATTCACCAAGACACTGTTTTGAATTTATTTTAAAGTCCAACTTCTGAATCTTAAACCATCAAAAAGATATTTTAAAAAATTGATTATATAAGAATATGCAAATTTTGAGAAGCAACTAAAGGGTAGCTTTTCGGATTTTACTTTTTACTCCTTCAATTATTTAAAACTAAATTAAATTAGTTTCTTTTCCACTATATAGACTATGCTTTTATTTTTAATTTTATATATTTTGAGATTTAAAGATATTAATTTATTCTTTTATTTTAAATAACTATATTAAATATATAGTCTTGTAAAAATATTTTAATTTATAAAATATCATATAATAATAAATCATTTTTGTTTATCAAATGGTAAAATACTAATTGTTAATATTGAAACAACTAATTCTTCTCATAGCTAATTCTTTTAGCAAAAGTTGATTTTCTTGGAAGCACAACAATATCTAATAAAGCCAAAGTTTATATTAACTAAAATTTTGCCAAACGTGTCTTATTTCAATTATTTTCATTAAAAAAGTAGTTGTCATTTTGGTTATTTAATGTGAATAATTTTGTAAATTAGTGCGTCATTGGCGTCGCTAACTCGGGAGACCGGGCCGAAGGTGGTTAAAGGGGACCCAACCAAGAAAGCAGAGACACCAAGGGTGTCACATGTGACCCATCACACTCCCACTTTTGGCATTAGTGACAGTGCCCTCAAGTTTACCCATTTCCTTTACAATCTTTCTCCGGCCGGTTAGTGACCATTTTTAATTTCTAATGATGTTCGATCATGTTTAAAGTACTCGACACGACCCACTTGGATCGAATAGACCATTGAGTCAACAGTTCTAATTTATGTTTGATTTTTGGTTTATATTTTGAAGAAAAATCTTGCTTCATGTATATTAACTTTGACATCATGGATGACATTCTCGTGAGTTGACAGTTTTTTATACATTGATTCACAACACTTCAGACAATTAATGTCATAAATTTTGACAAATCACACAATGTCATTTAGAAATGTACATCTAGATTAATTCTTCAAAGAATATGAAGAAAAAAAAACTTGCATGTTGTCCAGAGGGGATGGTTCCATGTCATGTTGGGTCATCTCCTATCCCCTTCTTGAATTGCTGGAATCAAATTTACACCTTGAGCCCTTTCAAATCCAATTTATCTTATCAAATATGGCCTTAATGATTCTACCAATAATTTGCAGTTTGAGAATGCACATTATCTATTGATCCTTAACTGTGTAAATTTAAATCTCAAATTGTGGCTTTGGACAATTACTTAATTATACAAACTTGGAAAGTTGGACTACAAAATACAACTTCAGCATATCATCGTGATGAAAAGTATTTTATGAGCATTATGTTTTGCTACTCGCTTATACATTGTCTTGCTTTTAAAAATTGGACGGTGAATATTAATGGAACGACTAATAACTTTCCAAGTAAATTATAATTTATAATGGTTATAAGTTCACTTACACAATAGGGGTATTTAACTGAATATGCAAAATTGTAGAAGGCAAAATACAAAATATGTATAGAATTATCATGGAATCTCTTTCCTGCAAACAACGTAGTTTCAAAATCAAGATTCCTATGTGTTATTCATTCTCTATGTTATACATTTTCTAAACTTCCTATGTTTGTTTTTATTTTTTATTTTTTGAATGATATTTGTGCTTTGCAGAGCTTTACGAGCAAGCCATAAAGTATGAGAAGGGTTCGTTCATTGCGTCCAGTGGTGCTTTAGCCACGCTCTCTGGGGCTAAAACAGGCCGCTCTCCAAGAGACAAGCGTGTTGTCAAGGATGAAACCACAGAAGACGAACTTTGGTGGGGAAAGTAAGTTCGACTCATCTGTGCAGTTTTTCGACTTACTTCTTAGCTATCATTTATTTACACATTTATTGTTTAATTAATAGGGGCTCACCCAATATTGAAATGGACGAGCATACCTTCTTGGTGAATAGAGAAAGAGCTGTGGATTACTTATGCTCACTGGAAAAGGTATTTTCCTGTGCAGCTCATTAATTTTTTTGAGTATAACCGCAAATTTTTTGAAATGCCCTAAGATAAGTTGGGGAAGAATATGAAAGTTGATAACAAACTAGGTTATTCTTAGAACATCACCACAAAGATGTTGCTCTACTTATGTAAAACTAATAAAAGAGAGTACCATTCATTTTTTAGTGAATACTAACAAGAAATGACAGAAAATTAATAGTTCTTATCCTGTTACTTTGTAAACTTTTCTCTTAATAAATAATAAAAACAATAATCCATGAAAACTTTTCGGTTGTCGAGTAGTAGGGCTGTCATTTATTTGACTTTCTGTAGAGATAATGATTTAACTATTTAATGGTTCCTTTACATTGTGTGTGCACATATGTCAGCCTGCATGCCATCTATACCTTTGTCTACATTCTACTCTTTTCTTTAAAATGAAACCCATCCTATTGTTAACTATTTTGATGAGGTACTCAATCCCAACTTCAGTTGAAGAGGTAATTAATTTTCAAAATAGTCCTTAAATATTTTTAGCTCAAAAAAATTGCTCACGAACAAAATTGTGAATTTAATAATATTAAAAAAATTATCATCTGTTTTCGTAGTTTCTCTCTTATAAAGATGCATTCAACCTATGTTTCTGTGTCGTGCTAATGTTCCCTCAACTCTGATGATTTGTTGGGTTGGTCGAGATTGTTGGGTCATACTTTCATGAGGAAGAGTGTTGCAGCCATTTTTTTATTTTTTTGGTACGGTCTTGTAGTAGATATTTCATTTGATTGACCCTCTACTGCATTAAAATCGAAGTAAGCATCAAGAACTGATGGATATCGTAATATACTCAAGATTTTAGTCTTGAAAGTATTTGATGTTTCTAAATTTGAAAAAATAGGGATTTATGAACTATCCATGAATTCAGGTTTACGTGAACGATCAGTTCCTGAATTGGGATCCAGAGCATCGCGTTAAAGTTAGGATCGTTAGTGCAAGGGCCTACCATTCCTTGTTCATGCACAACATGTAAGTAAACTAACACACACCATCTAATGCCACACTTTTCATTTGTGATATATATTAAGTCAAATTTTCTTTCAAATAAACTTTCATTTAGAATATCCTTAGATATGTTTTTCTTACAAAGAATTATTTAATTTGACGATAAGGTATGAATTACTTCTAATTCAACACATAAATTAACTGGGTGGTAACAGGTGCATTCGACCCACTCCTGATGAGCTGGAGAATTTCGGTACTCCAGATTTCACAATATACAATGCCGGGCAGTTCCCATGTAACCGTTACACCCACTACATGACTTCCTCAACTAGCATAGACATGAATCTTGCTAGGAAGGAAATGGTGATTCTTGGCACGCAGTATGCTGGGGAAATGAAGAAAGGTCTCTTCAGTTTAATGCATTATCTCATGCCTAAGCGTCAAATCCTCTCCTTACACTCTGGCTGCAATATGGGAAAAGATGGAGATGTGGCCCTCTTCTTTGGATTATCAGGTATTGTTCTAATTTGATGACCACCTTGTTTAAATGTGAGTTGTTAGCATTTATTTATTTAAAATTAACTTTTCAACACACCCTCTTCAAAGAAATTCACACATTTTTTTTTCTTCTCTGACAATGGACTTAAAAACCAATCCCCATCGTTTATAAAAGTTAAGTGGACTGATCTTTCCCAAGATCTGATATCTACGGGGAGGTTCATAGATGGGTGATGACATGACTTAAACTCATTACTTTTAACTTACCTTGATAACACGTTGAACTACCTATTCCAACAACTTTAAAAAACATGTTTATTCATTTAAATTTAATCTTCGACACAAGGGACCACCCTTCTGTCACCAACTCACAGCATGCCATCTTGTATGTCCTCTATGGTACCTAGTAACATTTTATTTCTGACTCCGATTCTTATTTGAATATATCTAATCCTTTTTTATCATTGATTCACCTATCTCAGGTACTGGAAAAACAACACTGTCTACTGATCATAATAGATATTTGATTGGAGATGATGAGCATTGCTGGAGTGAAAATGGAGTATCAAACATTGAGGGTGGTTGCTACGCAAAGTGCATTGACTTGTCAAGAGAGAAAGAGCCTGATATATGGAACGCAATCAAGTTTGGCACTGGTATTCTTCTCATACTCTGGGAAATTTATTGTACATATTCCCCTTTTTAGTTTTGCAATATTGAAGAAGATTATTTGACACTATCCCCCTTTTCGCAGTTGTAGAAAACGTCGTATTTGATGAACACACTCGTGAAATTGACTACTCCGACAAATCCGTAACAGGTAAACGATATTACATATATTTTACCTAGTGGTTTCAATCAAGCCAGAGTAGGCCAAATTTCAGAAAGGGTCGGGCTACATTTGCCACTGACAGGCCTCCAAGCCAATTTCAGTATTTGATTAGCATGATTGCCGCTCCGCAATAATTACTCTTGAAATAGCCATGGGAGTTGGGATTCAAAAATTGTTCAAAAGATAATTAGACATGGAAGATGATTAAAATTCAAACAAACTATAAAAGAAAGAATTATAAAAAGAAAAGAACAAATAAGTAGAGATTTATAATCAAACTGCGTTCAAGCATATTCTTATTCAATTGTCGTACTTACAGAAAACACTCGAGCTGCCTATCCGATTGAATATATTCCAAATGCTAAGATCCCTTGTGTTGGACCTCATCCGAAAAATGTCATTCTTTTGGCCTGCGATGCATTTGGCGTGCTCCCTCCAGTCAGCAAACTGAGCCTGCCGCAAACCATGTATCACTTCATCAGTGGATACACAGCTTTGGTAAATATGAAATTCCGAACATTTTTCAAGATAGTAACACAAGCCAGGCTTCTATTTCTGAAGATAGTTTTTTCTATATTAACTGCAGGTGGCTGGAACTGAAGATGGTATAAAAGAGCCTACAGCAACATTTTCAGCATGCTTTGGTGCAGCATTTATTATGCTTCATCCGACTAAGTATGCAGCCATGTTGGCTGAAAAAATGGAAAAGCATGGAGCAGCTGGATGGCTTGTAAATACTGGCTGGTCTGGTGGACGGTATAAGTTTTAACTTTCTTTTATTTAAAAAAAATACTTCTTTTTTTTATTTGAAAACATTCTTATTTACTCATATTTAAACTTTCTAAGCCTATCCAAACATGTTCGAGCCATATTTGGAGTGTGGGGATACTTAGAATGCAATTACATATTTTCAAGAAAGATATGTCTGTTTTATCTACAGCTATGGATTAGGCAGTCGTATTAAGTTAGCTTACACAAGGAAAATAATCGATGCCATCCACTCGGGGGTCCTTCTGGAAGCAAACTACACAAAGACTGAAGTTTTTGGACTTGAGATCCCGACTGAAATCGAAGGGGTGCCATCAGAAATCCTAGATCCTGTCAATACGGTAAGTTGCAATACAATTTACTTTTTCTATTAATTAAATCTTACTTTCAACGATATAGTCGTGTTCTAATGATGTATGCTTTCTAGTGGGCTGACAAGAAGGCATACGAGAATACGTTGTTAAAGTTGGGAGGTCTATTCAAGAAGAACTTTGAGGTGTTCTTGAACTACAAGATTGGCGCTGACAAGCAGCTGACCGAGGAGATCTTGGCAGCAGGACCAAATTTCTAATGTTGAATCTATGAAAAGAGATACAAAAATAAATGAGAATAACGCGTAACTAGTTATTCTTGCCTTCTATTTTATAAGTCTAATTGATTATATTATAAAATCCAGGTATGGTTGAACAATGTACCATAACTTTGTTTATTTGATTATATTTTCTCGAGTGTACTTCGAAGTCTTGAAGCGGGTTTTATTATTAGTCGTATACACTAAGTAAATTATAAGACGGATTGGCCAGTTTTTCTTCCCAACTTGTCATATGGCACGTGGGTTGTAATAATCACATTCAAAAACAAGGGAGCGCAAATATTTCTATTTTTTTTTTTGCAAGAGGAATGACGGGTGGTCTTTTCGTACTTTTTAATTCATGCATGTATAGACATGAAAAAAAAATAATAATAAGTAAATAAAATGGATTTGAGGCATATAAAACTAGGGGTAACTAGACAAGTACCAACAAAATCAGAACAAGTGTCGAATTGTGCATACTTTGTCAGAGGACCTGATATCAGCTACAATGAATCACGATGGCTTTTTCAAAGGTGATTTAGAGTTCAATTGGCTTGTGAGCCTAGAAGAGCGAGACTATGTAAAATACACTAGAGGTCGGGGAAGAAGCTCTACACTAAATCTTTTTTTGTACTCCATGTCAACAAGGACGTTGACAAATTGAGTGGAGGATGTCAAGGACCGCAAATTAGCATGAACGACCAATTTATGGATGAGGGGAGAGCTTGGTTAGTGTACTTCATGTCAACAAGGACGTTGACAAATTGAGTGGGGGAGAATGTTACGGACCGCAACTTAGCATGTATGACCATTGTGGATGAGGGGAGAGCTTGGTTTGAAATGAGTTCAAAAGTTGACCATACGACAACAAGTTTGTGTGTTGAGTAGAGGACCTTAGCAATTAGCAATTGAGTTTTGGGAAGCCATGTTATAGAGAGCTTGCCTAAGGAGAGAGCAAGCTTTTCATCATGGCAAACGACAATTCGAATTTGTTTGGTTGGAAAATATAGGGGGCAAAAACCATAGCGTCAGGTGGTAGCATTGTCATAATTTCTATAAATTACTAGGACAATATCTCAGGGATCGTGTATTTGTTGTAGGTAAATTTTGTGACCTTGATATTGAAGATGCTATCTTTGCTACAAATCAAACGAGGTGTTATATGGAGGTCTTTAATATCCGTTCTGAAAATTATAATTTCTAGGTCAAAAGACGTCTTTTGGTGTCATTTTAATTTTTCTTGCTAACTCTATTATAAGGGGGCATATTTGGTGAACAGTTGCTAGCTTCCCTAGTGCTTTGTCCCTTTGGAAGGACAGCGTATGCACTAAATTCACAATACTTAGGGGTGACATTGGCAACTAAAGGCCTACTTTAGGCACCGTTTAGGGAGGGCTAAATACTTGTATAGGTCGGGAACCTATCGAGCAGTGTTAGCTTTCGTTGGGTATTCGATGGGGGCATGAGGTTATCAATAAAGCATCGCTATGCTGTACGACTACATTAAGGATATGATAACACCTCTAGGCCGAATAAGCTATCGATGCCAGCTCTCTAAAGGCCTTGTATGCCACAACTCGTGTGCATTGACTATGGGTTTTGGCCTTGTGATGCTACCCGTTTTAGAAATGCGGTCATGGGGGCGACATAGCATAGTTGAGTGAATATGGAAAGATGTCGATATTGCAAGGACGAGTATGCTACAAATAAATTTCTAATTATCTATAAATTAATGAATGGCCCTTCTTGGGCTAGGCACTGATAAAGGACACGACAGCAAGCATTATGCTTAGATGCCCATAGACACTAACAACGAACACAAGGATTGCATTGTGGGGCATGCAAATGATCCTCAATGCTTCATATGGAGCTAGGATAGCTCCTTTCAAGTGAGCACGCTTTGGGAGTATCGTATGTTGTGCGTGAGAATGTGGACAAGATAGAAGACGTGCATTGTGAAAAGGCAAGCGTCTGACACCAAGTGTAGCACAAGGATGCGTTTCGGTAATTATATGCTAATAAGTCTTGTGTCATGACAGACTCATGATGGAAGTTGGAGGGAAGTAGTCAAAAAGAGTGATATTACAACCACACGTGTTAAAATAGTCCCTCTACGAGACTCGAAGAGTCTATTCGTGTACTACAACCCAAAATACTAAAATATTAACTTCCAAGTATTCAATATAAGTTTCCACACTTTGTCTACCTAATCATCAATCTATTTAATCTTCCCAATTACAGTCAGTCATAACAATTGTACATTTTGTCTTATCAAGACAAAGTAAATTGGTGTCCCTAGGATCACTTATATGTTGAGAGTAGGCTTAAAAAATCTCAAAGAAATCAAGTAATCTTTGAAAAAAAATGGCATTTGATCTTTGAACTCCCTAAATATAATGGTATTTTATTCTTGAATATCCACAAAAAACTTAAAGATTTGTCATCCTAGCTAGCTTTAGTGGTGTGGCCATCCTCACAAAATAACAATGATTCAATGAAGTTCAATAACTTACGAATGTATGTATGCTACATTTATATTGCACATATACCATCACATGCACTCCCTTAATTTAAGAAATAATACAAGAACGAAAAATCATACTAAAAAATTTACCTATATTTTTCGCTGAAATTGAACAAAACCCAGATGACCTACCAGATTTTGCATATGCCGCCGCAACATCCTCCTTCCTACTACTACATCCCCCAATTCGACACCAAATTTACTCTATTTTCCCTTTATGAAACCCATCTCATCTCTACATTTCTCAAGGGGATTTTGGATTTTTGCTCAAGGGGCAGTGGCATTGGCAAAACGCTGGAAGCAAAGTAAGGAAAAGGAGAAGTGAAGATCTCTGATTTACCGCCCAGTGAAGGAGCAAATGAAGGGTTTGGACTTTGGAGCCTCAGCCGGGTATGTAATGATGATGAAAATTATTTCATTTAATTTGGCCTCATTTTTTAAAAAAGGCCTAACTCTCTTAGTCCAAAACAAATTAGCCAAAACCAAAAAAAGGCCCACATGTGAGTCTATGTACTTCTTTTTCCCCGTCTTCTTCCTTTCCATTTTTTTTGTTTTCCTCTGAAAGTTACGCAGTTCTACACAAACAAAACATAGAGGGGGCTAAATAAGTATCATATGCAAAATTAAAAATATTTTACGAATTAAAAAGTAACAAGTCACTTTTTAATTCTGATCTAGATTATTAAACAAGCAAGTCATTTTAGCCCTAAGTTTAAATACCACAGTTTATGTGATCAATCAAATAACGAAAGCAGTAAATCAACACCAGAATAATCACGGAGAAACCCAACTTGGAAAAATTTCGGGCACTTTGCTAGTCAATAATCCACTATAAACGATATGTAATTTACAGTCTACCCTCCTAGACGACTACACGTACTATCCGATCTCCTGACTGCAATTCCAACAACTTTCGTGGATTCTGTCCTCCTGCACCACTCCTAGCTACAATTTCCAAAGCTTTCTTGGATTCTCCTCTCCTGCAAAAACTCCTAACTTTCCAAAGCTCAGTGACAGCATTTCGCTCGAGCTAAGGAGAGGCAGAGGCGACAGTCCCGCGACGGTATTTTTATTTTTGTAGCTCGAGCCAAACTTTGGCAACAGTCTAGCAAAAATTTGCTCCGTTTTCCTCCTTTTGCCATCTCGAACCCTAGACTTAAAAACCCTATTTTTCCATATTTGCACATTATTCCTTAACTTTTTAAACATAGTACAATTCAATTATTTTGTTTACAAAATATCGAAAACCAAACAAACTCCCCTTTTGACATTTTGTGACAAAACTACTAATTAAGTCAAGCAGTAATCAAAAATTAAATTACAGACTCAAAACCTACGACAAACTAGCTAACTTGAACAATTCTGTAGTTTTAATCAGCACCTGTTTCATGGAAAAATAACTCAACACCCAGTGTAACATGTGTGGAAAACCGTGCAATAAACAGTTCAAATAGTTTATAATTTAGGCAATGTAGAACCATATGATGTTATTCAGTTTCAATCATGCATGCTAAATCAAGACATAATATCAATCCAACCCAACATATCAAGAAGACACGTTGATACTACTAAAACAACAACCTTAATTTAGCAGACCTGAAATTAAATAATGAAAGCCTTTAAGTCATAAATCAAACAAAGTTGAATTTTGAATTTCTACTCCCCATTTTTGTCACAAAATGACAAGGAAGAAATAAAAAAACATACAATATCTTAAGAATGAAAGTGTAAGCAGTCATAGGTATATGTAATGAACTATAAACTTTCCTGAAAGTCAAACCAGGAAACACATTAGAACTTACATATGAAAGCCCAGTTTTATGGAGAATGTATTTTCTCCCCCTGACTTGTAGCATAAAACATTTATCTTATATCACAGCAGTAACCAGGAATGCTCATATTTATTATTTTCATCTTAAGTGTAAACTTCTTTTCATTAAACGACTAACCTGACCCCATAACGAGCTTTAGGTCGGTGAACCCAAGTCAGATGATCATAGACACCAAGTTATGAGAAACCCCACAAGTTTAATTACTCAAGTCAAGTAGGCTTCGAAAAGTAGCATAAGATATTGAGCTCCTTTAATTTAAACTTTTCATTATGTGTCTATATATTATTGTAGGGATAAATTCAAGTTTATGTCTAAATAAGTTGGTCAAGTCATGTTCAAAGTCATCCTACTAACACGTAACTGTCATCTCAAATCTCACACACGCGGTTGAGTCCCACTATTAAGTTCATAGTGTGTACAGTGCAGATGGTTTATGAAGAGGCCTATATTAAATACTCCAAAAGTATCCTAAGCCAACAATGAGAATTATATTACTACTCACTAAATAAACTCATACTTGATTACGACCAACAAAATCAAGTGTATTGTATATCATGCTGTAACAATTTCCCGCATAAAAATTAACAACATGAATGCACCAAGTACACAAGATAAAAGAAAATGCATACAACCAAAACACA